TTATTAATCCGAAACGTTTCGTGGTGGGGGACAAGGGCAGATGTAACTAACGAGGATTTTCTCTTTTCCTCTTTTGTCTCTTTGTATTTGCCGACCAGGCGGAAACTGATATGAGACACGCTGACATATTACTTCAACTTGGACGCTGATTAGCAACGCGACGCGACGACGAGTACATATGGAGAAATATGGGAAGTACGACGATGGGATAAAACGAAGAGATAAAAGTTCAGGCGAGACCGTAGGGATTTACGATGAAGATAAGCGGAAATTGTACGCAGTACGATAGGTTCTATGTGAAATCGCTGATTTCGGAGGACATTAATTTTCTTCGAATTGGAATTCTCGCATTCAAAAATTAATTTTCCTCAAATTACTCGATGTGGATGTGGATAAAATTGATTTCCTACGGCTGATTGTAATGAATGTCGGGAAATCTCTCTCTTACGAAAATGGCTTCTAAATAAAAATAAATCTGCACGCTACATTTTCTTCTATAATTATATTTCTTGCACGTGTTACATGTTCAAATAAACACGATAACTTTACATTTCCTTGCATTTCTTGGTTGTATATCGCACAAATAGATACATTATTAAATTCATATTATCAACAATTATATTCAATTTGATTTATTGCTTTCTCTCAATAATATTATTAATTTAACTAAAACAAAAATTAAACAATTTAACTTAGAAAATGTATTGAATTGGAACCAAATTTAATTTTATTATTCACTAAATATTTAATATGGACGTTGTTTACTCTGAAATTAAAAAATTTAATCTCAAAAAAATTGATTTACATTTTAACATTTTTGATACATTGGAAGTTCAGAACTATTTGTTCACATTTTTCATTTATTTCTTATATATATATGTGTGTCTCCAAATAAATACTGTTAAGTAGGTAACTTCATGTTTCTCTTATATTTTTTACATATATAAACTTTTTTTTCTAGATCGTGGTTTTTTTAATTTGATAACATGATCTTTCTCGGATATAAAGTTATAAGTTTCTCATTTCGCAACAACTCTTGCGTGATTTCGCGGAGTCCTTTACTTCGGCAGATCCTTGAATACTTCACGAGTGAGGTGACTATTAATAGAAACGCGAATCATGAAGCGGGATCGTATGGGGCAAGGTTGCTAAAGGAGTGCCACGACTTCGCGAAGTCGGTCGTACGCGCCTATTAATAAACAAAATTAATCGTATTTGCACAGATGCAATGTTGCAGAGCGTGCAATGTCGCATGATGTTCATTTGATCCGTGGGACGTGATAGTTTTTGATCTGATATATTTAATCAAGCTTATCATATAGTCGAGATATTAATCTGCAACATTTCATAACGATAATTTGATCATCAAATAAATATCATCGGATCTTCAACCTTGTATTTACAAAACATTATTAAGAATTAATAATAATAATAATAATAATAATAACTTTATTGAATAGCTGTACAGGTTTACAATTAAATTGAAAGCAACTCGTATAATGCATGACAAAATACAATATCCAAAGCATATTACAATAGGCGTGGCTGATTTGATGGCTAAGCTGAATAACTAATTGTCAACGATAAACATGTGAAAGTAATACAGTTCATTGAATGTAAATATACACATATATTAAACATCAGATTACTGCTTTGTATAGTATAAGAATATCAGGTGAATTCGATGAACAGTACACTATAAGTACAATAATTAGATAAATAAATTAGAATTAAAAAATATTTAAGAAGCAGAAAGACTAAACTAGTAATTCGATGAAAAGTATGATATATACACGATGAATTAATGTAGAAACAAAGGCTTAATGAATTAAAATTCAATCAATAGGCTTAAAAGTTATTATGAGCAAAACTTCTAATTTTTAAAAAACTGGGATTTAACCTTTAAAGAGCGAAGGTTTTTACAAAAAATCTTATAGCTTAATTTTCTTTGAATAAAAATTTGTTATCATTTATTATTTTATTATATATTTATCTCAAAATATAATTATTTCAATGTCACTATAATGGCTTTTCTTTCCTATAAACGTTAATGCTAGTAAATAATAAACAGTAAGTATATTAAAACCCAGCTTAGCTCATCTAATCCTGCTCATATAATAAACACTAAATGCATTAAAACTGAAGCTTACCTAAAGCTTGGATCATATAATCCTTTAATTCTATTGATTATTAAGAATATCTACAATTATACGAATTTCAACTTTAATTCCTGTTACGGAGTAACCTAAATCGCTTAACAATACTGTTTCCTTCATTGTGGCATCTCTGTATCGATTTTCCTCCTCGGTCCTGAAATCACGACTGAGAGATTCCCAGCAGCCGAATTGTGGGCTTGATGCTGGTCATCGCGCGGCTCGCCACGGCCCATGTCGAGGCCGAGGCCGACCGAGTGATCCCGAGCCGGGTCGAGCAGGGCCGAGCGGACAAGCTTAACGAGCTGACGATGCGCGCGTACGTTTCGTTGCAACGCGACGCGACGCGACACGGCGCGATTACGCGCGGCTACGCGCGGAGCCGCGATAAAGCCGACGAGCAGAGCGGATGCGCCGTTTCGCAGCGGGTGACGCGACTGCAGCTGCACGCCCATTCAGTAGCGGCCATACATTACTTAAACGCCAAGGCGTATTCATTTTCGGCGTAAATGAAGGCTTCGTTCGTCCAAAACGGAAAGCTTATTTGATTTGTGAAAAAAAAAAAAAACAGAATTGAAGAGATAATTGCTCGATTGAATATTGAAGCTCTATTAATCTTTCAAAATTGATATCAAAATTTATAATACAGTACTAACCCTGAATCTGTAAAACATTTACAATTTATGTTAATTAAAAAACACTAATTAATTTCAAGGAATGATATATAAAAAATAAATACTTCTCAATCGACACAAATTAAAAATAACATAAATCAATGTATAATTTCGCACTCAACAATTAACTATGATAACATATTATATAACAGTTACATTATGGAATGCTAAATTATAACGTTGATATTATAACGTTTAAATTATTTTTAATTGATGTCGATTGATTGTAAGTAAGTATATTTTAATAAAAATAATTTGCAGATGTAACATAAAGAAAATTGAATTGTTTGACAAAGACACTTTTGACAGAGGTTTGTAATCGAGTGAGTCTAATAGACTCATCGTTAACTCCAGAGGGTTAAATCTGTGTTTAAAAGATAATCAATAACAAGCTGTCACGCGGAGTTGCCATCTAATTTGTTTCAATGCTGTTACGAGTGTAAACTGATAACTCAAAACGCGAAAGTTTCAATGAAACAAGAAAAAAAAATTATTTTCTTAAAAAATAAAGAGATTTTATTGTCTTTCACGTACACACGCGCACATATTGATATTTTGAGAAAGTAATAATAATTCCTTTCTATTAAGTTCTAGAGGCTGCAGGATTAAAGTCGATATTTATTGTCGATTTTTATATTTAAGACCTTCGTCACATAATCTTAAATATAATCTTAATCCTTAATACAATATACATGATGGGTCATTCATGAGTTAATTGTCATCACGTTAGAAGTATACAAAAAATTATTAAATGATTCTTATATATTTGTAAGATTGTGTATTAAAAAAAAAAAGAGAAAAAATAGAGACCACCCAGACAATATTATGCCCAAAATGCGGATCTAAGACATTTTATGCCTGCATTTGTGACTTAATGTTATATCTAGGCACTATTTAACCAAGTGTTCCTAGTATTTCAAAGAAAAGAAATACGCAAGACATGACCTTATCGTATGAACTAAAGATTAAGACGTTATAAACCAATCAGATAGAATCCTTATATTTAATGCTTGATTTATGCTTAGGTCTTAAGCCTAAAATCCTAAAATTCAGCCAATAAAGCTACCAGTTTTAATTGGTCTTAATTGAAATCTGTATTCCATTGGCTGAACCAGGCATTAGTCTTTCTTAAATTTATCTTTGAAAGCTTTAAATATAAGGCCTGATTATGAATACGGGTAAGAGAATTAGTATCTTGAGACATTATCTAAAATAGTAGTCTTAAAATAAGAATTAAATACTGAATTAACATCGTATTAACATCTTTTAAGATGTTACTTGATTATAAAATAAAAACGGACTACGAATATCCCGATCTGTTTCAGCCAAACTCAAACTAATACAATAACATTATATCAATATTACAATTCCCCATTTAATACAAATGTAATATAACACATATATTATGTATACATAACAGATATATTGTTAAACAGGAAATTATATTGATGTAATGTTACTGCAAGTTTATGTTCAACAGGAAATTGTTAGAGAAAACAGCTATGCCGCAAGAAGTTGATGAATTATCGATTCCTGACTATTGACATGATTGTTTCAATACAATCAATGACTGCGTTTATCAGAGAAAATTAATTAGTTAGCGTTTAGTAATTCTTTGATATGATTAGTTTCTGCCTTTAGTCCTTTGCTGGATCTAAGTATAGAAAGCAATCATACTAAAAAAAAATCACTAAACGCTAACTGATTAGTTTCTCCGTTGCCAATGCTATCTATTGACGAGAGTAGTTTCAGCCACGAGAGTAGTTTTTATCGAATTGCATTCGATTCGACGAATACTCCAATTAGTGTCCTAATATCATCGTCGATCCATTGATTATTCGCTCGAGGCTCGCGTGTACTTCCGCCCCTGCTCGCTCTTTCGAATGCCCGCGCCAGTGGTGGTTTACTCGCTCGGCGTCAACCCGCTTCTCTCCGCTTGCCCCTTACCTCTCGCGTGCGCGCGCGCGAAAGACAGGCGAGGCGAGGCGAGGCGAGGCGACGCGTTGTCCGCGCCGCG